AAGGCTCTGTCCAGCTCTGATCTTCTGGAAAGTTCTACACTGCCCCAGTGGACTGATCCCATTGTGGCCTAACCACTCCTAGAAAGTGGAGCAGGGAATTCCCTCACCCTCTGCTCCCTGGGGGGTCCAAAGGATCCCCTTCTGTGGCCTTCAGGTCAGCAGGACCTACTGGGCTAGACCCTTTCAGATGAAAGGATTAGCTCCTGACACACATTTTTCTGATGATGAAAGCTAGCTTTGCAAGCATGAAATTTCCCTTGGGGTCTCCAAGATCCTCTTTTCCAAAAGGCTACATTCATTATCTGCAGGTGTGTGAGAAAGACATGAACTAAGGCTGACCCTGGGCTGGGTTGGAGATGGGAAGGCATCCCACCAGGTGGGCAGCTGTGGAGGGGGTGTGTGGACGGTTTGAGAGTGGCCGATGGAGTGGCCGATGGAAGGACCAGCCCTGACAGTGTCCCAGGGAGGCTGGTGTGAAGTCCAGGGAAGGGTGCTGTCTGCCTCCATCCCCTGTCTTCCTGGGTAAGGAGTGGTGGGAATAGAGTCCTGTGCCCTCACCCTAAGCTCAGAAGTGGGCCCAAAGCCCTGAAGTCATCCCTACAGGACAGCATGTGGCCTTCTATCTTTTGGAAAGTCCAGTTTTGTTGGTGACATTGTGTGTGTGTGTGCACACGCACACATGTGCACGCATATGTGCACACGTACATACATATCTTTGACTACAACCAAGCCCTCCCATCCCATCTACCTGGATCTTAGTGGGAAGGAGAGAGGACATGGTTCCATGGAAAATGTCTTCAGGGCTTTGCCCAGCTAGAGCAGAGCCATTTCTCACATGAAGACAAAGAGGCAGTAGCAGCCTGCAAACGAATTCAAATTCTCTCTCTAGTCACATGAAATAACCATGCTTTACAAATCCACAAGGTCTTGCTCATGGAACCTACTCAGCAAGCCGCAGGACTCTAGAAGCTTCGGGTTGGCCAGGATCTCAGAGATCACCCCACCCAACGCATGCCAGGGGGATTCAGAGGGCCCCCAGAGGGAGGCCTGTATGGGGCCTGTGTCTTTTGGCACCTGCCTTACAATAATACACTTCCCTCTTGTGGGGACAGGGGAGCAGTAATAAATTATGATCATTTCACTACCCAAGGTCACTGAGCCCTTCCCATAAGACACCGTGAAAGGATGGATATACACAAATCCTTCCTAGGGCTCTTCTGCCATGGACATTCCCCTGATAATGAAGGCCAAAATTGTTCCTTTATCTCCTAAAGAAAAAAATCTATCAGGAGGTGTAATGAGGTTATGTTATGGAGAGAGGTGGTATGAAAATTTCCCCACTAGATAAAATCTGGGCACTGGGAATGATCACTGGGGATTGTCAGAGCACCCTATCATTGGCCTGGGTGGTGGACAGCCAGGGAATTCCTTAAAGGGGCTGAGCACCCCCATTTCACCCCCTTTGTCACTTACTGCCAATCACAAGGAACAACACCAGTGTCTGGCCCAGGAGTTTTCATACCATTGAAGAGTCTCACCTTCAGGCAGATGGCTGAACATGCTAGACATAGCATAGCTAAATATTACTGGGCGTTCCATTTGATAAAGGATAAAAAACAGAGGTTGGAGGATGGGTGAAAACCATTTAACCTATTTTAGTTCTGCAGAATCTTGAAATTTCCATGTTATTGCAATGAGAAGGATCCAAGTATAGGACAGTGCAGAGCGAGAAGGCATGCCTCCTGTGGTATTTGGGCCATCCCCAGGCCTCAGAGAAGAGCCTACCAGCTACTTGGGGGCCAATGGAGGCACTTACAATGCTGAAGGGCTCTGTCTTGGGCCATGATCACAGCCTCTCTCTTCCCCTCCTGGGACAATGGAGCATTGTGGCTCAGAAGGTCCCCTGGAGCCCAGGGCCTCACTTACAAAAAGAACATCTTGGGTTGATTGGACCACCCTCCTGGGAGCTGGACTCCTCACTCTCACTTCTACCCTCCTCAGTTCCTTTTCTGCTCCGCACTAGAGAGAGCTTCTAAAAATGCAAACTGGAGGGGCACCTGGGTGGCTCAGTCAGTTAAGCATCCAACTTTGGCTCGGGTCATGATCTCATGGTTTGCGGGTTTGAGCCCCGTGATGGGTAGGGCTCTGTGCTCACAGCTCAGAGCCTGGAGCAGGCTTCGGATTCTGTCTCCCTCTCTCTCTACCGCTCCCCAATCCTCCTCCCCTCTCTCTTTGTCAAGAATAAATAATCATTAAATAAACAATAAATAAATAAATAAATAAATAAAAATGCAAACCAGATCCTGCTACCCTTCCAGTTTAAATAAACCTCAATAGCCTTTAGGACAGAGATCAAAATTCTTCAATGTTTCCTCAAACTCACCTATCCAAGCTCAGCCCATGTGGCTCTTGCCCTAGGTATCTGAGCTCCCGCTCCCCTGGCCCTCTGTCGGTTCCTTCAGAGCACACACTGCAGTTCATAATTGGCTATTTATCATGTGTCTGCCCCATGAGACTGTAAGCTCCAGAAGGGAGAGGCCCTGTGTCATTTGCTTCTGTATTTTTTTGTATTCTTTTGTATTCCCAATGCCTCACTCAGGGCCAGAGCCATGACCTGACACAGAGCAGGTGTTCAACACATACTTGCTGAATAAATGAAACACCAGCCTCTGACACCTAGGGTTAGGAACACAGAGAGTGACACACAAATGTTTGTGTGCACGAACACACACATACACACACATACACAGGTGCGGAAGAGGTCAAACACTTCCCTTCTCAGAACATATGCAGAGGTAGCCCCTATAGAATTGGCAATGGGCTAATGAGTACATGTAAATATCCAATGCCCTCCCCTCGAAGGAAACATTAGCCCCATTTACCTCTACCTCATTCAAATCCTTGATCAAACATTGCTTATTGGTGGCAACAAACCAGCTCTCTGTCCTCAAGGAGAGAGCAGGTGGCTCTTTCAATGCAGATCAGGTGGCCTGCTTGTCGTATCTCCTTCTGGGCCTCACTTCTCCTCCAGGCTCCTTAAGAAAATACATTACCAGCCATCCTATCCCAATTCCCATCTTCCACTCACACATCCTCAAAAACCCAACCATCTGCCTGCCACCTTCAGCCCCCGGCCCATCTGGCTGGGTCACCCCTTCTATCCCAAGAAAACTTACCTTCTCCCAGAAAGCTCCTGGCTGTAGGACTCCCAGAGTCTCCCCCTGCCCCACACAGTCACTGGAGTTCACCTCCTCAGTGGAGCCTTTGAGATCATGCTCTTTTGTCTAGTTCTCGAAGTGTGTTGCCTATTTGGTTCCACTTTGGGTTGTGATTCCCAAGAGGGCAGTGGCTTTATGTATTAGTGTGTCTTATGGTGTCAAGGGCCTCAAAGGATCAGCTTAGCTGAAAAATTAGGGCTTTGGATGATGTACCCCACCCCTGCTAAAAGGGGTTATCTGAATGAGGCAACACGGAACAGACATAATCAAGCCAAACTAGTTAAGAGCTTACAGCTCTGCAAACCGAGGGGTTAGATGAGCTGATGTCACAGGACCTTTCCATCTCTGACCTCCTCGGAGGCTAGGGCATTAACCCTGGGGGAGGGGGGCTGCCTTGCCAAGCCCTAGCTGGAGCAGGAGGAGGGAGGCGGGGTGAGTGGGAGGGGCAGAGAGAGCCTGGGGAGTCCGCAGTGACCTACATCTGCTCCCGGCACTGCCTGTCCACCAGCAGTCCATTCAGAGCCTTTAGCAGCGTGCAGTAGCTGGAAGCAGACAGGAGGTTGGAGGTCGGTGGGGCACCCAGGTAAGTGCACCAGGTACCCAGGGCAGAGCAGGGCAGAGATGGAGATGCTGGAATGCTCTCTAACTTTTCTACTCAGGAAGGGGCAGGCAGTGGGCAAGAGAGCAGCCCAGGGCACGTTTGCTGGCTGGCTGATTACACCCTGTGGTGCATGTATAATCCCTTCTAGAGGACTCCAGGATATTTGGAAGAGAGAATCTCAGTGAGTCCTGTCTGGGAGTTTTGTCCTGGCTCTGATTTTCCAGGCACTGTTTGGCTTAGAGTGTGAAATGATGATCAGGTTAAAAATCTGATGAGATGTCTAGAATAAGGACTGGGACTTGTTACATCTTAATTAATAACATGGTCAAAGCAGTTGAGACAAACCTCATTTGGCTCTTCCTGCCTCAATCCTACCAGTTTGGAAGGTAGAGGCAGCAGCTACCTAGAGGCACAAGATGACAGCAAGTAGGGGGGGGGGGGGGGGGGGGGGGGGGGGGGGGCGGGGTGTTGAGGGCTGTAGTTCCGGGAGAATCCAGGAGGCACTACCCTGGGCTCCAGGGCTGAGAGTCATGGTGGGATAGGCAGGACACGGCTGCTGTTTGGTGCTGAGAAAAATTGGGATTTCTTCTCAAAGGAGCAAAGAGAATTCATGGGAAGAGAATCCATTTCCTTCCCCTCCCCTCTGATTGAGACCACATCCTTCTAGTCTCCAGTCAAGCAGATCTCTTGCCCACTTGTCACTAACCTTGTCCCAAATCTGGCTTCCTGAAGAGATTGGAGGTGCAGAGGGCAAGTTGGCTGAAACTCAGACCCTTAAATCCCCTGTAGGGGTTCTGCTTCTCTCTCCCTTCTCAGCTGCGCCCTGAAGGCAGGAGGCCAGAGGGAGAGCAGCAGTTAGCATTACACTTCATGTGTGACAAACAGCGGAGTAAGTGACTGAGAGCTGGTGGTGAGAGTGATCGGCGGGGAGGGGGAGGAAGATGAAAATGAAGATGACAACTACGGTGTCCATGTTAAACGCTAACTACGTGAGAGGGTGGGGGTCGTAGACAGGTGCCAGGGATGGGACTGGGGAACGCGTGGGACACAGACCCCTGCAGCTCCCGCCACTCGTGGTCGGCTGCATCCTCCTCCATTGGCGGCTGCTCTCCATCCCTCATGACTCCCTGCTGCGCAACGGCTGTGGCCCTGTGACCGCTACAGAACGCAGTTGGCGCACCATGGCATTCCAGCGCACTGGGGGGCAGCCGCTGGGCTGTAGAGGGGACACCTTGAGGCCAGAAGTGCCAGCGGGTGGGCAGTTGTGAAATGGAAGTGTCAGTTGGAGGGAAGAATTTGCTCTGTCATGTGTGATTCTATCCTGAACACAAGGCTCTTTGGGCGGGGAGTGGCATCTTCAAAATGGAACCCCTTGGCCGCGGGCCAACCACACAGGAGGTGGGACTGCCAGAGAATTCTTTCAAGACATCCCCCACCACCACCACTGCCCTTCAATTCATGTCTCTCATCAAGGCTTTCATCCCAGCCCAGACCCAAGCCCCTTCTCTCTCCTGAGTGGCATTCCCCATCAGCCATAATGGAAGGGTGCAATTGCGAAGAAATCAGGGGGAGACAGTGGTAATGGTGGTTGGGAGAGGCTGGAAAGCATTTTTGTTCACCTGGCGCTATAACTCACTGGCTTCAGAGGCGGTGCAGATGGATTTATGAGGATCCTGTCAGCCTGGGTCAAAAGAGTTGAAGAACAGCCAACTAAGGGATTCCCCCCTGCAGATCTGGTCATCAGTAGGATTCCAGATTGGTTGAGGGTGGGAGGTAGAAGGCTGATGGGCCTTGCTAGAAAATCTCAGAGTTGGGGGAGGAGCCAAGAGTCCCAGAGAATATTCCTGGAAAACTAATATTCTAAAACCAAGAAGGGGCAGTCCGCTAAAGAGCTGAAGGAATCCTGAATGCCAGGAATTTGATTTCCTGGGCTTTGGCCAGGCTGTGTCTTATCCTCTGAGTGGCCATCAGGCCTGGGGACGCACTCAAAGGCCCAGCCACCAGCACTGGTTACAGGCTCAGCCCCCTGGTCTCCGTTACCTGGGAAAGGTATAACCGAGCAGCAACCTGCACTCTCCCTGTCTCTGGGCAGGGAATTGCAGGACACCAATCGGTGTCATTAGGTGGGGTCAGAGAAGCTCTCAGGGGCAGCACCTCTACCCGGCTCCCATGCCAGAGACTGACTGAGGCGCTGATGATGTGGGAGAGATGGGGAGAGATGGGGTAAGACCAGCCTGCACCTCTCATAAGCAATTCTGTCTTCTGTTCTCAGGAGATCAGCTGCCACCTTCAGTAACCAAAGAGGCACCCAAACTATGGCAGGTGAGAGAAGAGCTGACCTCCCCTCCCCTCCCCGGTCTTACCCCTCATCTGGGCTTCTCACTGGGTGGAGAGAAGGGAAGGACAGGGCTCAGAGATCTTTAGGAATTCACCTGTATCTTGGCTTTTTCTAGTCTCATATTTGGGTTTTAACTTGTTTTCCTGAATAAAGTCTCCCATCTGGAGCCCCTTCTCATCCTCCCTTCTCCAGATTTACCCCAATGACGCTCTCAGGGTCTTCCCTGGGTGCCCCCTGCCCACTTCCCAGGGGCTCCATTCACACTACTGGAGGACTGTCAGATTCCACTAGAAAATTCAAGGACCCTGCTCACAAGCAGGAGCTCTGGGAGGCAGTCCTGCCCAATGGTGGGATAGTGAGGGGGGGAGGGGTTCATGGTCCTTAGGTGCCTGGGTCAGTGCTCCATTGTGTTGAAGGGCCGCCCACGAAGAAGAGTAGGGAGGACTCATCCCCCTTTCCCCCACCTTCCCTAGGGAAGCCCTTCAAGAAATCCCCACTTCATGGGGTGAGGATCCAGCAGCTGGTGGAGGAGATCCCCGAAGGCTTCAGCACCCCAGACTTCCAGCAGAAGCCTGTTCCCATGGCGCTGCAGGAAGGTGAGAGCTGGGAGGGGGGCTGCTGAGAGTGTGTGCAGTGGAGGGGGCTTGTGCACCATCCTTCCCAGCCTGCCTCCCAGCCCCCAAGTCCAGTACCAGGCCACACTGTGTTTCCTTATACTTGTGGGGTACCTGCCTGTCTGGGTCCCCAGAAGGGCAAGGGACCTGAAGAGCAGGATGTGGAAAGAGAGCGAACACATACTATGGGATTTTGAAACAAGAAATACTTGGGAATAAGATTGGGGAATGCTAACTGGGGAGCAGAAGCGGTAGTGGTGTTTCTTAGCATCCTCCCCTCTCCCTGCCTCTGAGCAGCTACAGCAGGAGTTAAGGAGTTCCTGGGTGGCTCAGTTGGTTAAGCACCCGGCTCTTGACTTCAGCTCAGGTCGTGGTATGGTGGTGAGATCAAGCCCCATGTTGATCAAGCTGTGCTTGGCTCAGAGCCTGCTTGGGATTCTCTCTCTCCCTCTCTCCTGCCCCTCTCCTGTTTGCATGCTCTCTCTAAAATAAAATAATAAAATAAAATAAAGTAAAATAAAATAGTTAATTTGAGTCATGTGAGAAAAGTACCCAGGAAAATGATGGGAGCAAAGGCTTTAGGGGGAAGGGATAAGAATTGGTATTCTGTCCCCAACACAACTTCCTGCAATACCTTGAGTTGACAACATTCCGGTGTGAGGAAAAGAATGGCACTTTATTTTTCTAAATCTGACTTTAAGTCCCCACTCAACAAGGTCATGAGAAAGTGTCTTTCATCACTGGGAAGGGCCCTTGGATCTTCACTCCATACTGATCTCTACTGAAATGTTCCTGGCAGGAGCCCAAGGGATTACTTGAGGGCAGTCAGCTCCCAGGCTTCCAGGCCAAGCATGGAGCTCAGGTGCTTTTCTGAAGCTGGAACCCTGCATCTCAGGACCTTTTTGCCTCGAGAGTGGACATGGAACCCACAAAAGTCTCTTCCCCTTCCCAGGCTTGGGAGAGTCCTTCCAATTCCTTCCCTTACCCACTTGCAAAGAAATGCCCCCTTCCGCCCCAAGCCTGCCCGCCTCCCCTTCCACATGGACAGTCTGGCTGCATCTTTCCTCAAGGAGCCTACACTCTGTGATTCAGAAGCCAGGCAGGCACTGTCTGGAAACGGCTGCTCTCCACCTAGCGTCGTAAGAGCCTTTGAGTCAAGGGCACTAAGGCCTGACCCCCTTCTTGGGCTGGGCAGTTGAAATGCCTGGAGCAGTGAAAGTGAAAGTAACATAAATGAAAATCTCAATAAAGTATACTGTCACCCTTGCCCCTAACCTAATCTTTTGACCGCCTTTTCCTGCCCCAGGGAAAAATGCCATCTTTCGGGCCGTGGTCTGTGGGGAGCCCAGACCCAAGGTACACTGGCAGTGCACCAAAGGTAACCTCAGTAACTCCAGCAAGTACCAGATCTCCTCTGCCCCCGGCAGCAAGGAGCACGTGCTACAGGTATGATCCGAGTTCTCCCCCTGACCCAGGTCTACTCACTTCTTCCTGTCCCCTTGAAGGTCTCCCTGGTGGCCTCCAATCCCCAGAGGAGTAGGAGATGTTCCCAGTTGGGGTTGGGTCTGACAGCTCCATCCTGGGGTTCCAGGTTGCCTGAGCCAGATGTAGGTCTGGCAGGCTTATGGGCACCTCTGCTGACAACCTCCTGGCAGGTAGTGGAGGCTGGAGCTTAGGTATGCCAGCTCTGGAGGCTGACAGCCTGGGTTCCAATCCCAGGCCCACCACCTTGGCCTTGGAAAATTACTTGCTTCTCTGTACCTCTGTTTTCTGATTTCTCATCTGTAGCACTTACTTTACAGTGTTGCTATGAATACGATGGTTTATATAAAGTGTCTAGCCAGTTCTGGCCTCTGGGGACCACTCAATGCTGGCCAATATGAGTAATAATTACAGCTACCAGTCATGGAGTACCTACTATGTGCTGGGCCTTCCGCCAAACATGTGACATAGATTATGTAACTTAATCCTGACCATATACCACTTTGTGAGATGTTGTTATCCTCACCTTCTAAGAAACAAAGGTTCAAAGAGGCTAGGTAATTTACCCAAGGTCCCATAGCCTGTAATATACGACAGAGATGATATTCAGTCCCAGATAAAAAAAAAAAAAAAAAGTGAGCTTTTTCTGCTACACCACACTGTCTCTGATGGCAAAGAGTTGGTACATCTGCTCTTGGTCAAGATCCAGCTTTCTGTTTTGGGGTCTGACTTTCTTGATGAAGACTGTGACCTCTACGAGGAAAGGACTGTGTCTTCTCCATGTGTATTTACCTATAACCATGTCTAGTAAGTGGAGGAAGGGGAGGTGCTAGCCCAGTTCCCCTGGCCTTGGCCTCTCTGCAGATCAACAAGCTGACGGGTGAGGACACAGACGTGTACCGTTGCACAGCAGTGAACATGTATGGAGAAGCCACGTGCTCCACCAGGCTCCTGGTCATTGAAGGTGGGCTTGTCCCCCTCCCCCTCTTCCTGTCTCATCAGTGCTTGGGTGTTGGCCCTGCCTTTCCCCTCAGAGACCCCAGAGGCTGTGCAACTGGTGGGGTAAAAGGAGAGATGGACACCAAGGCTGCTGCCCTATCTGATGCCAGGGCCCTTGGGCTTTACACACTCACACGCTAACTTTGCCTATGGTTTAAAAGGCGCACCCTCAGCAGATACCCCATTGGAGAGGCTCTGAATGGTATTCTCTTAACCCTTGGAACGAGGGCCTGGGAGTTGGTTTCTGGTCCCGGACCTTCTGCTAACTCCTTCAGTGGGCTTCATTTTCATCTCTGGGCCTCAGTTTCTCCAGTGGACAAAGGATACTTCGTACAGGCCAATGTCAGAGGTGACAATCGGGTAATAGGAAGGCCAAATCCTTTCTCCAATAGGTGGGGGGTTTTTTTGTTTGTTTGCTTGCTTTGGCTTGTGCAGTGTCTCCAAATTTTAAATTAATTGCTGACATGTAATAACAGGGGAACTTACGTGTCTCTTGAGAAAGCAAATCTAGTCTTTCCATAGGTTACACTTTTGCCCACAAGTAACAGAAAACCCTACTACGAATAGCCCAAGAAATTAAGACACTTGAGTATGTCACATGATAAGAAGTCCTGAGATCGGAGCCCAAGGGCTTAAGCCACAGCTCAGGGCTGTCACAGGACAGCCTGACTCTTCCTGTCTCACAGCTCTGCTACCCGAAGAGGCTGGTTTATCTCCTCACAGGCATAAAACAGCTGCTGCAGACCCACACCAAGCCCATGTTCAGATGTACCTAGTACATCTGGCCCTTTCGTCGAGAAAGCCAAAGCATTCTCAGAAACTCCTTGGAGACTTCTGTTTAGATCTCATTGGCCAGAACCGTGTCACTCATACACCCACTCTTAGTTGCAAGGGAAGCCAGGAAGGCAAATATTTAGCTTTTCCGGCCTCCTTCCTACTAGTGGGAGTGGGGTGATGAGGCCGAGGACTGGGAAAGGCTGCAGGATCCGCCAAACGGCTGTGTCTGACGTTTTTGGCAATGTCGGCCTGTATCCCGAAACGGCAGCTCGCAGGTGCACGGAAGAGCCCCTCCAGACACAGTTCAGTGTGTAGTCAGTCACCCATGTACACCTCACTCATTTCTGCCACCTCCCTGCTCCAGCAGCCATGTTGGTGGGCCTTCCCTGCATGCGATGATAATCAGGTCAGCTCCACCTAAGTCATGCTAAGGCTCTGGGGTATCAAAGCTTATGGCAGACAGACCATCCGCCCTGTTCAGCCCCCTCGCTGAGCCGTTGCTGTGACTTGGAGGACAGTAGGGAGGGCAGGGCCCTGGCACTCAGCTGGTTCTCAGGAAGACCATCAATGTATCTTGCTTCTCTCCCCATCTGTTCACATTAACTCCCTCCTCTCCTCCTGATGGTCCAGTTGGCTTTCGGAAGAGTCGGAAGAGGCAAAAGGAGCCCCAGGAGGGTAGGTGGAAGCGTGGCCGGAAGTCTCTTTGGGTTTGGGGGAAGGGGCTTCTCCTTGCCTGGTGCTCCCTACTTGACCAAGCCCTTACCTTACGGGTCATAACCAGTCCCCAGGAGTGTGCTTTTCAAAAGCTCGGTGGTCAGCCATGGACCACAGGTCCTCAGACTGCCTCCCCACCCTACCCCCATTCTCCAGAAAAGCCCTGCATTCGCCCCTTGGCATCCCATGCTGGGCTTGGGGCCTCATTCTTGCTTCTTTTCTAGACCTCAGGAAGCAGCTGATGGAATACCGATACCTCCTGAAAAAGAGGTGGGTCTGGGCCTGTCCAGGGGCAGGGGTGAAGGCTCCCCGGCTACTTCCATGAGCAAGGCGGGCTCGGCTCTCCACTCCACCGGCTGGGAAGCTAGACTGCAGGTGGCCAATGGGAGGAGGGAGAGGGCTGAACTGAGAGGTACGCCACCTCTAAGCTCTATGTCCTTAATCATCTCTCCTGTCTGGTTCTGATTTACTCCTTTGTAACATGGGACGTTCTGCTAGAACAATGATGTTTTTAAGAAGTGTTAAAGTGACAGAATGATCTGCACATCCCCTCGCCCTGCCTGTCTTTCTCAGAAATCCACAACACAAGTTGTCAGGAGCCGTTGTTTCTCTTGCGAGAGAGTTTGCACTGTGGGGAGATGTCCTGACAGTGGTCGGTCCCAGAGCCCAGCCCCCTGTCCCTTTCTTCCAGTGCAGAGAGGGCAGCTCCCTGCAGCCCCTGGTGGGGGGGCAGGCCGCCAGGCCGAGGAGACCAGCTCCTGGGGCTCCCCCGGGGCTCCTCTGGCCTCTGACCTGCCCACCCTGCTCCCCAGGGCCCCGCCTCCCGCCAAGAAAAAGGTGGACCTGGCGCAGGTGTGGCAGCTGCTGATGACGGCCGACCGCAAGGACTACGAGCGGATCTGCCTGAAGTACGGCATCGTGGACTACCGGGGCATGCTGCGCAAGCTGCGGGAGATGCAGAAGGAGCACGCGGACAAGGTGGCCCAGGTACCCTCTCCTGGGCTGCGGCCCCCGACCTGGAGGCTTAGTGCGGGACCCGCTCTTCCGCCTGTCACCCATCCCTCCCCGCCCCGTCCCCACCTCCCCAAACGCCCAGTGCAGTGTCCCGGGCCAAGGACACAGGTCTCAAGTCGACTTGACTTGGCTTTGAAATTTGGCTCTGATACTAAAATCCGGGGCTTTGGGAAAGTTAGGGCCTCCGTGTCTTGAATGGGTGTTCCAGCCGTATCTGCCTCTAAGGATTAGTGAGAGGATGAACGAGAGAATGTACTTAAGATGCTCGCCCTGGTGCAGCAAGGGCTTCCTGTCAGCTGTCTGCATCCCCAGACCTTGGATATCGGTCTTATTTCTAAAGGCTTCCAGTGCAGGGAGTTTCACAGTTGCCATTAGTACTCTCATGCCAGCGTCTATAAACTGCAGGAAGTTCTGCCCTGGGTCTAGCCTAACCATAACATTAGTCTGATTTTGTCTTCTGGAAATGTAAAACAACTAGTTTCCATCTTCCTGAAAATAGTATTTTGTCACTTTGAAGGTGGTTCATCAAACGTCCTGGGACTCAGTTTTCTCTCCTCCAAGCTTTCTCTTTGACCTTAACACAGGGCTTTGCACACAGTAGGCGCTCAACTAATTTTTATTGGATAGAATAACAGATGAACAGAAAAGCCCTCCCAGGTTCTCAGGGCACCTGGACACCTGGGGTCCTTTCTCACTTTCCTTGCTGACCTGATGTCTCATCTTGGAAATTTTCTTCCCTCCTGGAAAATGGGCAAATGCATGCTTGAGTGGGGCACTGGGGGGCTGGAGTGTGTGGGTTTGGAGTGCCCTGATTAGAGAGCTCAGAGAGCTCCCTGGGTGGGTTTGTCTTCCCCAGTATGTTAACGCCATCTCCAACTTGAGACACATCAAGGTCAGCAAGGAGGGGATTGCCACGTTTGACCTGGAGCTGGATCTCAAGTATTCTGAGAGCAAGATTTACCTGTATAAGGTGAGGCTGGGGGAGCTATTGAAGGGGGAGGGATGCTACGGGTCCTGGCGGGAGGAACTAGGGGTCCCCGAGTTCCCCTCTGGGAGCAACTCAGGTCCTCAGATGGTGAGTCCTGCATCCCATGGACTTCCTGATTCAAGTGAGGTCAAACTTTGGTGCGGACATTTCACAGAGTCCTCTTACCTTAACTTTCTCCATGAGAATTGAGCAACCAGGGTCTCCAGCCAGGGCACAGGGGTAGAGGGTGGGGGGTTAAAAAAGGATTCTGAGAAAGTGTACCCCCATCCATCTGAGCTCTCTCTCCGGAGATTTGACACATCCTTGCATGGGTTCCAGTAGTAACTGCCTGTCAACGAAGTGGGGCCTGGGGCAGATGTGTGTGTGGGGGAGGGAGCAGAGCACAGCAACACTAGCTCTGTGGTCAGACTCATCCTCGCCCCACCACTTACTGGCTGTGTGACCCCAGGCAAGAGGCTTACCTTCCCTGTGCCTCAGGGTTCTCACGTGTAAAGTGAGGGTAACATAGGACCTATCTCATGGCACAACTAAATGATGAATGAGATCATATATGATTTGCCCCTCCTCTTAGCTCTGTTCACTCCTGGTGCTCTTCCCCTTGCAATTCTCTTCCCACCCTCCTCCCCTCTTCCCTGGGCTTGCCTCTGTTTCTCTGCTCCGGCCGGTCCTGCTACCTGACATCATGGTCTTCCCCGCAGCCGGGCTTCCCCTGGTCACCTTGTGTGACACTGCTGTGTCCTCCACCCCATCCTGCCTTCCTGAATCTGTACCTTCTTCTCTCTTGTCTTTTTTATCCTAGTTGTAACTCTTTCTAATATACATTATATTATCTGCTTCTGATATTTATTGTTCGTCTGGGTTCCTCATACAATTTTAGCTCCATGGGGACAGGAATCTTTGTTTTATTCACTGATGTGCCCCAAGTACCTAAAACAGTGCCTGGCACACAGTAGGCACAGTAGGCAACCGAAGATCATGATTAATCTATCTAGGCTTTAGCTAAAATGGGTGTGGGTTTTGTAGAGCCCTGAAGATATCTGATAGAACTCTCTTGCACCCCTCTGTGAATGAATGTGGGGGGGCCCTGGGGCTCCTGGTGTTGCCTCTCTACCTCCTGCTAACCCCCTAAGGCGACTTGGGTAGTTGCTCTACTCAATCTGAATTAAGATCTCCCACTCTCAGGTGCCTCTTGTGTAACACTTACAGATTATTTACTCCGCAGTGAGAGTCAGGGACACTCCTAGGACATTTATTCCCCTTCACCTCACATTCCTTGTTCTCAAGGCCTTTGAGCCCTGCTCTCCACTCCCCGCCCCCATCCCCCTCCCATCTGCTGTGTGGTTCCAGCAATATGTTTTCTGGTGGGAGAAAGCTGTCAGAGGGGGTTGGGGCAGGAGGTGCTGGGGACCCATTGAGGCCCCTGAACCCTTCTCTTCCGTTCTCTGCCTCAGGATGGTGAGATGATCCCCTACGGCTTCAACAACCAGGTCAAGCACTGTCTGCGGCATCTAGGGAACCGCTACCACTTCCGGATCAAGGACCTGCAACCCGAGGATGCTGGCATTTACCAGGTCAAGGTGGAGGATGTGGAAATCTTCTCCACGGAACTGGATGCTAGCGGTGGGTGGTCGTCCCTGCAGACATTTGAGTGGGGGAGATCTGTAAGGAGCGGGGATCAGGTCGGTGCCATGGCTGGAGGGGGGAGATAAATGTGATGCACCCCCTCCCCCTCCTTGCAAAACTGAAATGATCTCTGCTTTCCAAAAGTCTTGGTCTGAGGTTTATGTTCTCTCAGTGCTGAGTTCCAGCCACAGACACACGATGTCCATGCCATGTCCCTGCTCACAGACCTTCTGTAGCAACCAGTGATTTCCAGATTAGGTCCAAACTAATTCCACAGCCTCACTCCTTTTTAAGGCAGACCCTCACCTCCAAGACAGCACCCCCCCACACACAGCAAGAAGCTCCACCCAGGTTAGGCACACTTGTGCCCCGTACAGACCTCTTCCTTCCCTGCCTTTAGTGCCCACATCTCACCTGGGAACCGTCCCTTCCTCCCTCATCAAACCCTGTCCCATCCCCACAAGTAGCTGTGTATGAAGTCTCTCCCCTGCTGCCTCCCCTTTCCTATAAAAAGGATATAATAATACCCACTTTGGAGGTGGTCATAAAAATTCACATGATAACAAATATAAAGCACTGGCAGTCAGCATATTGGTTTCTTCATGTACCCATCTTACCCTGATATATCATTTCTGGCTTTAGGATTACAGAACTCGGGGTGCCTGGCTGGCTCAGTCGGTTAAGCATCCGACTTTGACTCGGGTCATGATCTCATGGTTTGTAGGTTCGAGCCCCATGTCGGGCTCTGTGCTGACAGCCAGCTCAGAGCCTGGAGACTGCTTTGGATTCTGTGTCTCCCTCTCTCTCTCTGCCCCTCCCCTGCTCACGCTGTCTCTCTCTCTCTCTCTCTCAAAAAAAAAAAAAAAAAGGATTACAGAACTCCAGAACCAAAAACAATCTTACTCTTCATAACCTAATGACAACCCCTCATTTAATATGGGGGGAACTGTTACTTGGGGTAAGGACGTGACCTGCCAAGGTGAAACAGGGGGTTTGTGGCTGAGCAGGTCTGAACCTGGGCTTCCAAACTCCCGGCCCTGTGTGTCAGGCCACCAAGCTGACACCACCCATTTCTCCTTCCCCGACAGCCATTCCCGCCAAAGTGGTGGTCCCGCTGGCTGAGGTCCACTGTGAAGAGCAGGGGGACGCTGTCTTCGAGTGTGTTCTCTCCAACCCCTGCCCCAATGCCACCTGGAGTTTCCGACACCGGCCACTCCAGCCCAGCAAAAAATATGAAGTGTCTGTGTCTCCCGATGGACTGACCTACTGTCTGATCATAAGGGGGGCCCGCTTCTCAGACATGGGCTTCTACTCACTGAGCACTGGGTTCCACAGCTCTGGTGCCTGGCTAGTGGTGGAAGGTGAGTGGTTCGCACCTCTGTCTTTCCCTTCATCTATCAAGGCAAGCCTCAGGGCTGAGGAGGGCAAGGAAAAGGCCAGGAGCAGGGCCTTCCTTTGGTCGGCCATTTGCTTTGGATGCTTCCTTCACTGTCAGAGACTGAGGAAGCCTCCTGAGATCTATTCCTGAGCCATTGTCATGCAGGCCCCTCACTGCCAGGTGAGTCTACCTTAGCTCCATCTGCTCCACAGGGCCTCTGGAATTGCTCTGGGGGGATGGGGGGTGGGCAGCTCCAAGATGGCCTGAGGGTCCTGGCTGGGGCTTGGCCCAGGTCCAGTATGGATGAAAAGCTCTGGATCAGGCCAAATAACACCCTTACATCCCCCTGGGGATTTGGGTTCAAGGTGATGTCAGGAAACTATAAATTGGGCATTAGTAAGGCAGATGGTGGGGCAAATAGATCTTTTAAAAAGCAGGCAACTCTCATGGCAATTTGATAAGCAGATGTGTTTTGGGTTATATGTTTTCTCTGAAAGTCTTCCTGAAGCACATAACAGGGCGGGGTGGTCTACGGGTGCAGGTCTGGGGGAACTGGTGATAAAATTTGTCTATCAGTGAGCTGGCACACCCTGGCTTCTTTCTGAGGCGGTCAGCTTTTGCTCTACTGGGGAACCTGAAGGTCAAATTTGAGGTCAGACAGGTACCTTGGTCTGATCTAACAGGTCTTTTCTTTTGTCTCTCTATGGGGACATTGACCTCTCACCAAAGCTGGGAAGGATAAAGGCCATATGACCACAAGTGCTGACCACCGGCTGCAAGCACAAGGAGCCCAGACCTCAGCAGAAGATTCCAGAAGCATCAGCAGTGAGGGAGGGAAACCCAGAGAACGGGGCCCCCTGGAGGGCTTCCTTAATGGGGCCAGGCTTGCATCTGAGCTAGAGCTCACAGCAGGCTCAGAGACAGGTGGCCTTGGTGGGCATGGCTATTCCTTGATGGAGTGTGATGGGGCAGCTGGCTCAGCCTGGGGCCCTGGGCAGGCAAGAAAGGGCTTTCTGGAAGCAGAGGGATACACAGTCATTCCCCCTGGGGGAAATCAGCTGCACAGAGAGGGAGGCTGGGACAGAAGACTTCCGGGGAGCCCCTATCCACAGGGAGAAGGCCTGGAATCAGGTCTGGGCCTCATGGAAGGTCAACAGCAAGATCAAGGCCGAGGCAGTGATGGGGACAGATATGGTAGAACAGCAGGAGGCTGGGAGGCTGAGTCCAGGCGCCCTCAGGTTGGAGGACTGGGGAGCGGCAGGGAAGGAAAGGAGTACAGAGAGGACCATCAGAGTCCCCTGGACAGGCAGAGCCAGGAACAGCTCTGCAGTGCTCATCTAGGACCTGGGAGAGGAAAGACAGCTCTGAGGGGATCCCAGTCTGGTCCTGTGGGCTCTTGGTCAGAAGGGGAGGCGATGGAGATTTTGCAGGGGGAAAGCCTGGATGGGGTGGAGGGAGGGGGTGATTATAGCAGGGAAAGGCAGAAAGTAGCAACAAGGGCAGTGTGGGGTAGTGGGACTGACCTGGGGGGAGCCAGAGACAGCTATGGGGCAGGTGGTCCTGGGGCCCAGGGGTACCCTGGAGAAAGAGCTTCTAGATCCAAGACAGGCATAGGCCCTGAGTCCTGGGGCTCTCAAGGAGGTAGGGATGTTGATGATGGGGAAGCAAGGGGCTACTGGGGGTCAGAGGAGTCTCTAGGGCAGATATCTATAGGAAAGAACTTCCAGGAACCATCAATATCTGATGGTAGCAGAAAATTTCTGGGACAAGAAGGGCCTGAGGACAAAGCTGAGGGTTCACTACAGGCAGGTGATCAAGGCCCAGGGAAGTCTTTGGGTGGGATAAAGGGCTACAAAACCAGCCCTGGAAGCCCAGGAGGTCCTGGGGGCTGGGAAAGGGACCTACAGGGGCTCAGGGGAAGGCAGGGCCAGGAGACAGCAGGGGACTTGGGTGAGACAGGGCATGGCTCCGGAAGCTTCCAGTATTCCCAAGGCTGGACAGCAGGTCAGTGGGGACCAGAAGGTAGTGGCAGAATAGAATCCGAGAGCCCAGGTCCTTGGGATGACACAGGGTCCAGTCTTAGCAAAACTGGGGCTCACCACGGGCCTGGAATGTTGGGGTCTAGTGAAGGGGAAGGTGGTGTGGGTGGTGCCCAGGGGGCTAGACTGATGGGATCTGGTCAGGGGGTGGACACCAGAAGCCACAGGCTAACTGGGTCTCCAAGCCTGGGTCCTCGGGGGTCTGGGAGGACACTAGGGGACGCTGATGGATTAAGAGGTCCAGGGGCGATAGGTTCAGAACCAGATTTCTGGAATGGGTCATGGGACTCCAGAGGACAAGGACCCAGAGGTGAGACTGGCCATGAGGATGGCTTAGGAGGTGTGGGGAGAATGGGTTCTAAGTATGGCGGTGGCGTAGGGTATGCTAAGGAAATAGGTCCTGAAAATGCGGCTGGTTATAGGGACGGCTCAGCGGCATCAGAAGAAATGGGATCTGGTTATGGCATGGGTTATAGAGTGGCCTCTGGGACACTGGGGGGAACAGAGTCTGAGGAAGGGGGTGGTTATAGGCACGGCTCAGGGCCACCTGGGGGAATGTGGTCTGGAAACAAAGATGGTTACGGCCCTGCCATAAGGGGGTCTGGGAGACTTGCTGGTCTCAAGAGTGGCTCAGGCAGCCCTGAAAGAGGGCCCATGGATGAAGCCAGGATACATGCAGAGGTCGGGGATGCATCCAGAGGCCAAGGGGATACTGGCCCTGGGAGAAGGCCTCATTCTCGTGGTGGCCTAGGGAGTCCTGGGACAGCAGCGTCTGTAGGTGGAGGAAGCCGTGGGACCTCTGCAACAGTGGAGACTGTTGGAGAGGGACATGTGGAAGCAGAACCAGGGGTCTCTGGAAGAACAAGGTCCTGGGGTCAGACTGGAGACTCTGGGGACTTCAGACCCTCAGGGTCTCCAGGGGCCTTTGGAGAAGGAGGCCATGACGGTGGCTCTAGGGAAGCAGGAGCCATGGAGCCAGGGTATCTGAAGGCAGGAGGTGCAGTGAATGATGGGGATGGGACCAGGGACCTTGGTGCTAGGGCCTCTGGAGCTGGAGCTGGCCATTGGGATGACACCAGGTTCCCTGAGGCACTAGCTCCTCATGCTGGGGTCAGTTCCGAGACCCAGGGGGCTTATGGCTCTGGCGGTGTGCCGGGTTATGGGGGTGGATCAGGAATTCGAGGGCCTCAGCAAATTGGAAGCAGAACAGCTTATGGAGAAAGGTCAAGGAGTCTTGGGTCTGGGGGGATAGGACCAGGGGGTGAGGCAGGTTATAAGGATGGTATTGAGCCTTCTGGGGGAATGGGGCTTGTAGGTGATGTAGGCTATAGGAAAGATTTGGGGGTTCCTGAGGGAATGGAGTCAGTGGGGAAGGCAGATCATAGGGATGGTTTGGGGGGTTCTGGGAGAATGGGGTCAGGGGGTGAGGCTGGTTATAAGGATGGTTTGGGGGGTTCTGGGAGAATGGGGTCAGGGGGTGAGGCAATTTATGGGGATGGCTTGGGGGATCCTGAGAGAATGAGGATGGG